AAGTCTACCAGCCTGCGGTCTATCTTTGTGCCTGTGCCATTCGGACGTTTGCTGCTTTCATTGCTGTGTTTGGTAACATGCATTGGGCTCCTTTCAGGCACGGGGATTTGGGGTCGCCCGGGTTCCTGGCTGCCCATTATTGTGTGAGCATGTCTGCTCCTGGGCATTCTTGTGTTGCTTTGGGTCACAGGTTGCAGCCTGTTGTCTCGTCTTCGTGTTGCGGAGTTTGTGGCTGCCGCCTCTTGGGTCAGCCCATTCTTTTCCTTCTCTTTGGGTGTGCAGCTCCAGGGAGCCGTAGGGGCTTCCCTCAGAAAACCAGCGTTGAATGTAATAAAACTCCATTTTCTGGGTGAGCCCTGGAGGCTCCCTGGCAACCCTCCCTCCCATTGGTCAGCGTTTTTTTTTTTTGCATTTATTGAAGTTTAGCTTTCGAACTGGAGTGCTATGCAGCCGGCACAGTAAGGTCCGGGGCCCCCCTCTCGAGGAGGGGAGGGTTGCGCGGACGAGCGGTGCGGCAGTAGTATGTTCCAAGTTTGCTTGTTTGCTTGTTTCCTTGGGATTGCAGGGAGTTCTACCTCTCTGTTCGGTTTTTGTTGTTAGTTTCTTACCATGTGGGGTTTGTTTTGTTATGCCTACCTTTCTGGGTGCCTCACCCCGGTCAATGGCAGATAAGGAAAACCCCCCAACCACAGGAGGGTTTTCCAGGGCCATTGCTCCCTGAAACCTCTTTGAAGGGGCCAGGTTCTGGCTCATGGTCCCTGGTAGGTCTGAACTCCATAGCTAATGTCTCGGTCTAATATAACATACATTAATCCGATAAGCTCCAGGGAGCCTCCGGGGCTCACCCAGAAAATGGCATTTCATTACATTCAACGCTGGTGTTTTGTGTCATCTGCAAGGGATGATACAAAGCTGTGACTTGTATTTGAGTCTATATCTGATATAAGAATATGGAAAAGCAGTGGTGCAAGGACTGTACCCTGAGGTACAGAGCTTTTAACTGCACTTGGACTTGATTTTATATGATTGACTGTTACTCTTTGTGTTCTGTTCAACAGAAAACTGAGTATCCAGTGTCCTACTTTACCAGTTATTCCCATTGACCTCATTTCGTGTGCTACCACTCCATGGTCACATTTATCAAATGTCTTTGCAAGGTCCGTGTATACCAATCTGCATTCTGTTTCTTCTAATGCCTCAGTGATTTTGATGTAATGGTCAAGTAGCTGTGAGAGGCATGATCTTCCTGTTCTAAATCCATGTTGACCTGGGTTGTGTAGGTCATATTTTTCCTTGAAACTAGTGACCTGACTCCTGATCACTCTCTCAAATGCTTTTATTATGTGGGACATTAGTGCAACTGGTCTATAATTCTTTGCCAATGCTTTGCTCCATCCCTTTTGTAGGGGGGCTGTGTCTGCTCACGACATGCATAGGTTTACTGCTTTGGTTGCCGTCTTTGGAAACATGTCTTGGGATGACATTCGGGCATGGGGTTTTTGGAGGTCGAACAGGCTCCTGGCTGCTCGCTACCTTGTGATTGTCCCTGGACCTCGTAGGGCCTGCATTGCATTGGGTCGGCGGTTGCAGCCAGTTGTCTCAGCTTCATGTTGAGGAGTGAGGACTGACCGCCGCCTGGGTAAGTCCCTGTTTTTCCTTGTCTTTGGGTAGTTAGCACCGGGGAGCCAATGGGACCCCCGCCAGAAAACCAGCGATGAATATAATGAAGCGCCATTTTCTGGGTGAGTCCCGAAGGCTCCCCAGGATCCCTCCCTCCCTCAGGTTAGCAGTGTTTTCATGTATTTTAACATCCAGCCTAAGAACTGCAGGGTGGATCGCTGGTGTGGGGGTCTGGGGCTCCCCTTTCCTCCTCCCAGGGGAGGGGGGGTGCACAGACAGCGGCGCGGCGACATGATGACGTCATGCTCGTTTGCTAATTTTCGCTTGGGGAGTTCTGTCCACTCGTTCAGCTTTCGGTAGCAACAGTTTCACCAGAATAAGGGTTTGTTTTGGGGCACCTACCTTTCTAAGTGTCAGATCCGGTCGATGGCAGATATAAAATGCTCCCAACCACACGGGGGTTTCTATAGGCAATTGTTTCTCGCCTTTTTATGTTTAATTATGCTTTCTTCATATTTAGTTATGTTTAAATAATAATTACACCAGTGATGCAATGTGGTTTACGATTTTTTCTGTTGTATACCAAAAGTAAATGACAATCCAATATGACTTATTTTTCAATGTATTGCAGTACATTATATTGGATCATGTACTGTATTTAGTTGCTATAACACTTTGATGGCTGGAGGTAATGTTTGCCATTTAGCAAGTTGGACACGTGTGTGTCCTCTCCCTCACAACCCAACTGTGCTAACATGTTTCATAAGGCTCTGCCACTCAGCCCTATTTAGTTATTTGCTATAGCTTTCAAGGAAGAATCTGGTACCAAACATATACATGCATGCATGCATGCATGCATACACACACACACACATACATACATACACACAACCAAAGCTGCTTCACAGCCACATCAGGAGGAAAATAGCAGTGAAGGAACAAGTGATGAAACTGCGAAAAGGGGAGAACAGATACACAGAGAATGACAAGGAGGTGTGTGAAGAACTCAACAAGAGATTCCAGGAGGTCTTCACAATAGAACAAGGAGAAGCCCCTGCACTAAATGAGGAGGAGGCAAACCAAGCAACCTTGGAGGAATTTGACCTCACCAATGATGAGGTGAAAAGGTGTCTGCTGGAGCTGGATGTGACAAAGGCTGTTGGGCCTGACAGAATCTCACCATGGATACTAAAGGAAGGTGCAGAAGCACTAAGTGTGCCACTCTCTATGGTGTATAACAGGTCACTGGAAACAGGAGATTTACTAGAAAGTTGGAAGACAGCTAACGTAGTCCCAATATACAAGAAGGGTGACAGGCAAGAGGCACTGAACTACAGGCCAGTTTCCCCAAGTTTCATCGACTTGAGAATGGTCCAGGACGGACCGAAACGTCATCGTCCCTTCAACTTCTAGTGTGTGGTCTGGTCAACATACTTCAGCCACGTTATTGTGACTCATCGCCTGCAGTTTCCCTAACTTGTATACCATACAAGGTGATGGAGAAGATCGTGAGGAAAAGGTTCGTAGAGCACCTGGAGGGAAATAACTTTGTAACGCACCACCAACATGGGTTCAGGGATGATAAATCGTGCCTCACAGGTTTAATAGAATTCTATGATCAGGCAACAAAAATTTGGCAGGAAAGAAAAGGGTGGGCCGACTGCATTTTCCTGGACTACCAGAAAGCCTTTGATACAGTATCCCATAAAAGGCTATTAAAAAATTGGAGCAACAGGCAGGAGTAAAAGGGAAGGTGCTCCAGTGGATAAGGGAATACTTAAGCAACAGGAAACAGCGAGTAACGGTGAGGGGGGAGACATCAGAGTGGCAAGATGTCACCAGCGGAGTCCCACAGGGCTCAGTACTTGGACCCATCCTGTTTCTAATATATGTAAACGATCTTCCTGAGGGTATAGACTCGTTCCTCTCAATGTTTGCTGATGATGCAAAAATTATGAGAAGAATCAAGACGGATGGAGATAGACAGTGACTACAGGATGATCGGGACAAACTGGAGGAATGGTCTAGAAAATGGCTGCTAAAGTTCAACTCGGGAAAGTGTAAGGTAATGAAATTAGGCAAAGGGAGCAGGAGGCTGAACACAAGGTATCATCTGGGAGGTGAAATCCTGCAAGAGTTAAATAGAGAGAAAGATCTGGGGATTGATACCACACCGAACTTGTCCCCAGAGGCCCACATCAAAAGAATATCATCAGCGGCATTTGCTAGACTGGCTAACATAAGAACTGCCTTTGGAAACTTGTGTAAGGAATCGTTCAGGACCCTGTATACCACTTATGTAAGACCAATCCTGGAGTATGCAGCTCCAGCCTGGAGTCCATACCAAGTTAAACACAAGAGAAAGTTAGAGAAGATTCAGCGGTATGCCACCAGGCTCGTCCCGGAACTGAGAGGAATGAGCTACGAGGAAAGGCTAAAGGAGCCAAACCTCACGTCCCTGGAAAACAGAAGAGTAAAGGGAGACATGATAACCACCTACAAAATTATCAGGGGAATTGACAGGGTGGACAAAGACAAATTCTTCAGCATGGATGGGACACCATGGGGAATTGACAGGGTTATCTTGAGGTAATCTTGAGATGATTTCGGGGCTTTAGTTTCCCTGCGGCCCGGTCCTCGACCAGGCCTCCACCCCCAGGAAGCAGCCCGTGACAGCTGACTAACACCCAGGTACCTATTTTACTGCTAGGTAACAGGGGCACAGGGTGAAAGAAACTCTGCCCATTGTTTCTCGCCGGCGCCTGGGATCGAACCCAGGACCACAGGATCACAAGTCCAGCGTGCTGTCTGCTCGGCCGACCGGCTCCCTGTCCTGACAAAGACATATTCTTCAGCATGGATGGGACAACAAGGGAACACAGATGGAAACTTAGTACCCAGATGAGTCACAGAGACATTAGAAAGAATTTTTTCAGTGTCAGAGTAGTTAATAAATGGAATGCACTAGGCAGTGATGTGGTGGAGGCTGACTCCATACACAGTTTCAAATGCAGATATGATAGAGCCCAGTAGGCTCAGGAATCTGTACACCAGTTGATTGACAGTTGAGAGGCGGGACCAAAGAGCCAAAGCTCAACCCCCGCAAGCACAATTAGGTGAGTACATACATGCATACATACATGCATACATACATACATACATACATACACACACATACATACATTTATTTATTTATTTTTTCATTTATTTATTTATCTATTTATCTATTAAAATTGTATCTCTATTGCAAAGGTTCTACGGAATATAACCCAGTTGTTTTCCATCATTCTTTTCATTTGTAATGAGCAGTATGTCAGTGAGACCAGCCATTCTTAGAGTGCAGTATTGTAAACTAATGCTTTTGAATAATTGCTTCTCAGGGAAAATGAGTTAATAAATGAGCATAAAGCTGGATCTTCAGTAACCGAGCGGACTCAAGTAAACGGGTCCCAGCAGGCCTCTGGGCCCCACCACAACCACGTTTACGAAAAAGTTAAAAATTCAAAACGTGACACTTCTGCAGATAAACATTATCCCCAGAAGTCTCACCTTCCTATATCTTCGCATTCGGCAGCGATGAACGTGGCCGTTAAACTGAGGTATTTGTTTAGTGTATGTCTGCTTGTTTTGATGACTAGATTAGAGCAAACATTATAAGAGACTTGCATCATGTAAAGTGTCTAGTAGTGGTATGGGAATAGAGGAGTTGCAGACACAATACTGTAGAATTATGCTAAATGGTAACACTTTTCTCTCTGCTTTTGATCAGTACCTACCAGCAATCACCCAGAAAGTAACAGATCTTGGAGTGTCTCCATATGACTGAACACTACAATAGTTTTGGTAATATACACACAAGGAGAGAAGTTAGCAACTGTTATTAAATAAATTTAAGACAAGCAAAAGGATATTGAATGTCTTCACATTCGAAGAGACTTCCTCATGGTGGGAATATATTGTGCTTTGGTATGTTGTTTTTTTTTGTTGAAAATTTCATGTGGTTGTGACTTGTTTCATGTCTGCTTTATATTTGTGTGATATTAACATTGCAGTGGCATTTAATCAGAGATTCAAAATGTTTACAAAGTTTTCTGGGGGGAGCCCCGGAGGCTCTGGGGAGCCTCCGGGGCTCACCCAGAAAATGATGTTTCATTATATTTAGCGCTGGTTTTATGATGTGGGCAAATTATAACATTGTGAAGTTAATTTGTTGCAGTGTAGTATTTGATGCTTGTTTCAGTAAGCAGCTCAGGCAAGTTTGCAAATATCAACAAGAATGCAAACTTAAGAAACATAAAAGAATCCTTCAGAGCAAAAATTATTTTATGGCAACTAAAATTTTCCCTTGAGAATAATGACCAGTTGACCAGCTGATATTACTGTTGCCTCTTCTGGCATTCACACTCACAAAACAGCTTCAACAGTGGCAGCTCAAATGGCATTTAGTACCGTAGTTTTAAAATAGAATGTTGATATATTGTATAGGATATACAGTGGAACCTCTATTAACGAGTGGCTCTATTAACGAGTTTTTCCAGTAACGAGCAAGCCACTCGCAGCAAATTTGTCTCTATTGACGAGCTCGCCTCTATTAACGAGTGAAACCACATGGCGCTTCCTAGCGTCTCGCGGGTTCTCGCAAATTCTCGGACGCCTCCGACGCCAGTGTTGTTGTTGTATCTCACACGACAAGCATCCCTCTGGATTTATTTGAGCTTTTCTTTGGGTTTTTAGTGGTTTTGCGACTACAATTTGTAACACACGATGCCTCCAAAGAAGCTGCTTGCTAAAGATAGTGTTTTCAAGAGGAAGAAAGACAATTATTATGAATTTCAAGAAGGAAATTATAGCAAAGCATGAGTGTGGTGTCTGTGTGATTGATCTCACAAGGAAGTATGGCAGGTCCTCATCAACAATTTACACCATTAGTAAGGGAATGAGGAGGTAAGGGAGGATGCTGCCTCTTCCACTGAGATCAGGGAAGTGTTTGGAATGTTTGAAAAGGTGAACGCATTCTTGGAAAAGCTGCCCTGATAAAGCAGTGACAACCCAGTGTGTGAAAATGTTTAATTAATTTATCACTTTGTGATAACACTTTATGAAAGTGTTATCACTTTCGCAGGTATATGTCGCTTGAACGTAACACACTTTTTTTATCTTGAATGCACCCAAACATTGTGCTCAAGCGTCATTTGAGCAAATATTTCTTTAAAATCCAATTCTTATCCGATCGACTTGGGGATTGTATACATGTTTGCCATGAAATTTCCGTTTTCTTTAATAACCACATTGCCTATTTGAGAAAACGGCATTGTATTGTATCTTCGTGGTAAGACTATTATATTGTTGACACAACGAGTATAATCAACGTAGTTTTTTATTTGGTGCTGGTCTAACGCATCCTTGTGTGACATTTGAAATGAAATTTGGGTGAAATTCCCAAGAAGAGAGAGAGCGCCTGACTCAGAGGTGGATTCTCCTTCCACACCATAACCCCTCTCCTCCTTCCCACCTCTCCATCGTCTCCCTCAAGCCAGCAACTACTCTTCATAAGGTAAAGTAAATATTAAAACACTACAACAAAACATTTATATTTACATGTGCAGTATTATATTTACATAAAAAAAAGTCATACAAGTATGGATGTTTTTGGGAGTGGAACGGATTAAATTTATTTCCTTTATTTTAAATGGGGAAATTTGTTTCCAAAGACGAGTTTTCCAGGTAACGACCTCGGTGCCAGAACGGATTAAACTCGTTAATAGAGGTTCCACTGTAGTTACTTGTAATATATTAGGAAAGGCCAGAAAGCAGTGGTTCTAGTTTCCTGACCAACCCTATTTACGTCTGTAAACCCTTAGCAGATGTTATCATGTATGACAATAGTAACAAAAAATGATAACAATTTTAAGCACTATCCTACCTAACTTTAATAATAATTTCTTTTACTTTTCTGGGAGGGCTTATGAGGTGGCTCCTTGTTGCTAATCGCTCTGGTTAGCTCCACGCCTATCAAATCGAACAAGTCCCTTGCACGTCATTAATAACCTGCTGGAGATGAGGTCCAAAACCTGGCCCCCTCACAGTGCCACAAAGCAGAGAATAGTAGATCACTCTAACATAGGAAATAGCCACCAGAAGGGTGGAGTGAGACAAAACAGACAACACCATCTTAAAATTAAACAAAACAGAAAATAGGACACTCAATAGTTAAGTCATTTCACTGCTAGTTCCACCTCCCCACGTAGGGGATTTCAGGGGCCACGTAGCCTGGTGGATAGCGCGCAGGATTCGTAATTCTGTGGCGCGGGTTCGATTCCCGCACGAGGCAGAAACAAATGGGCAAAGTTTCTTTCACCCTGAATGCCCCTGTTACCTAGCAGTAAATAGGTACCTGGGAGTTAGTCAGCTGTCACGGGCTGCTTCCTGGGGGTGGAGGCCTGGTCGAGGACCGGGCCGCGGGGACACTAAAAAGCCCCGAAATCATCTCAAGATAACCTCAAGATAACCTCCCCACCAGCAGGTGTGGGTCCGTCTAATTACCCAAAGCTATCCAAACTTACTCAAAGCTACACAAAGCTTTCTAGCATTACGTTAGTAATGAATAAATGATATATTTATTCATTATAATGTTGGTGCTGAATGTAGAACATGAAAAACATATTTTTACTCTGAAAAAGTATCATTTTACAACAAAATTAGACGAAAATAAGAAGCTGGCGACGCCAAAGCAAGTCGACTGTCCAAGAGACAATGTCTGCTGGCATATGAGCCTTCTGTGCCTACCTAACCTAACCAACCTACCCAAACATAACCTGACCTAATATAATTAAACCTAACCTATCCAAACATAACTTAATATAACCTCTAGGCAACAATCTATCTTGAATAATTTGTTCATCCACGATAAGTCGCTCCACAACATTTTCGCTTGGATTGTCGACTTCCTATGGCCTCTTATGCCACTTAGTTTTGTCTAATTTCATTATAAATTTACATTATTTCAGAGTAAAAATATGTTTTTTCATGTTCTACATTCAACACCAACAATATAGTAAGTAAATATATCATATTTCTTCATTACTTACGTAATGCTAGGAAGCATTGGGTAGCTTTGAGTTAATTTGGGTAGCTTTGGGTAATTATACAGACTGCCAGGTGCCAGCAGCTGGAGCTGGTAGCTCAGGAGGTGGACCACTTTGTTACTTGCAAGGAACTACATTATGTAGTGCTTCATCTGTCACCCTTGCTCCACTTCTCCAGAGAAGTGCTGGCTATCCTTAGGACTCGGTCCTACAGGGGATCATTTGCTTGTGTATTGTTTACACGCCATGCCTGTTGTGTAATTACCTAAATGTAGTTACAGGATGAGAGCTATGCTCGTAGTGTCCCGTCTACCCAGCACTCTTTGTCATATAACGCTTTGAAACTACTGACGGTTTTGGCCTCCCACCTTCTCACCTAACTTGTTCCAACTGTCTAAAACTCTGTTTGCAAAAGTGAATTTTCTTGTATTTCTTCAGCATCTTTGTTTAGTTAGTTTAAATCTATGACCTCTTGTTCTTGAAGTTCCAGGTCTCAGGAAATCTTCCCTATCAATTTTATCAATTCCTGTTACTATTTTGTATGTAGTGATCATATCATCTCTTTTTCTTCTGTTTTCTAGTGTTGGCATATTTAATGCCTCTAACCTCTCTTTATAGCTCTTGTCCTTCAGTTCTGGGAGCCACTTAGTGGCATGTCTTTGCATCTTTTCTAGTTTGTTGATGTGTTTCTTAAGATATGGGCATCATACAACCGCTGCATATTCCAGCTTTGGTCTAACAAAAGTCGTGAACAATTTCTTTAGTATTTTGCCATTCATGTATTTAAAAGCAAATCTGAAGTTAGAAAGTGTAGCATAGGCCCCTTGCACAGTGTTCTTAATGTGATCCTCAGGTGATAGTTTTCTGTCTAGAACCACCCCTAGATCCCTTTCTTTATCAGACATCTTTAAAGATTTCTCACATAATTTATAAGTTGTGTGGGGTCTATGTTCTCCTACTCCACATTCCATAACAAGGTATTTAATTACACTGAATTCCATTTGCCAAGTGGTGCTCCATATACTTATTCTGTCCAGGTCATCTTGAAGGGCATGACAATCATCTAAGCTTCTTATCCTTCCTATTAGCTTAGCATCATCAGCAAACATGTTCATATAATTCTGTATACCAACTGGTAGATCGTTTATGTAGACAGTGAATATTACCGGTTGAAGAACTGAACCCTAAGGTACTCCGCTTGTGACATTTCTCCAGTCCGATACACTTCCTCTTATTACTGCCCTCATTTTTCTGTCAGTCAGAAAATTTTTCATCCATGTTAGCAGCTTACCTGTCACTCCTCTAATGTGTTCCAGTTTCCAGAACAACCTCTTATGTGTGGATCTAAGCAACTGTTTTCCTGTTGCTTCGTGTATTTAGGGCTGACTTTTCTAAATGATTGTTCCTGGATGGGGTTCTAGGAGCTCTTCAACTCCCCAAGCTCGGCCTGGGGCTAGGCTTGACTTGTGACAGCTTGGTCCAACAGGCTGTTGCTTGGAGTCTGATGATTGCTG